CTCACTCTGTTGCCCGGGCTAGAGTGAGTGCCGTGGCGTCAGCCTAGCTCACAGCAACCTCAAACTCCTGGGCTCAAGTGATCCTTCTGCCTTAGCCTCCCGAGTAGCTGGGACTACAGGCATGCGCCACCATAACCGGCTAAATTTTTCTATATATTTTTAGTTGGCCGATTAATTTCTTTCTAATTTTTAGTAGAGACGGGGTCTCGCTCTTGCTTAGGCTGGTCTCAAACTCCTGAGTTCAAAACGATCCGCCTACCTCGGCCTCCCAGAGTGCTAGGATTACAGGCGTGAGCCACGGCGCCCGGCCTGTTTCTCATTTTTTATTTCTTATATTATTACCTTTCCATTCCCAGACTTCATACTGACATTGGAGATTTTCAATCAAGTAGAGACAGATAGAGGCCTTTTAGACTCAAGAACAGGGACATCATTTTGATGACCAAGTTACTAACCCTCAGTTTTTTCTTCTCATTAATCTCTTCCTTTCCTGTTCAGTTAAACAGGAGAAGGGCAATTTCCAAATACATATATTAAGTAACAGGAATACCTGGGTTGGACTTTACAGCCAGACATGGCTAACAGTCCATTTACAAGCAACTCCACTGGATGCTCCTTTATTTTGTAGAATTCTAGAGTTCCAAGGGACTTTGGTAGTATCTGATACAGAGAGGAAGAAAGTCGGAGGGGATTAAATAAGTTGATAAAAGTCATAGATAACTCACATAGTAGATTGCTGGACATCACACCCACAGTTGACTGGGTGTGTACACCATTAGTTTCCCAGAAACCAGACAGCGGTTGATGCAGGTAGAAGTATAACACCTTTTTCCTCCCCAAATGTGATGAGTTAGTCAGAGCTGGACCATTTATGGTCTTTTACACTACATTAAGGATTTAATCTGTATCTTATGAGCAATAAGAAGTCTTGAAGCAAAGGATTTAAGCATATATGGTGATAGGATCAAATTTATATTTTTAAAAGATCAATATGTCCTCACTTGAGGGAATGATTGGGTAGAAATAGGTGCAATTAGATGAGTGTTCATAAGTTGGGGTGCTGTTGCAGAAGTCTAGAATGGTTCAGGGCGATGGAAATAAATATAGAAAAATGGAGAGGCTTAAGGGATATAGAAAGTAGTGATTGAGAGAAGAAAGGAGTCCTATGATGCCTTGGTTTCTAATTTGTAGGGCCCATTAAATGGTGGTGCCATTTTCTGAGAGATCCAGCTTTGGGGGTGGAAGATCATGAATTGTGGTTTAGACCTTTGATGTTTAGGAGTCTATGAACAGCTAGTTGCATATATGGAACCAGAGCTCAGAGGAGATGTGAGAGCTAGAGATGTGAATTTAATTAGGGCCATGGCTGTGAATGAGGTTCCTTAGGGAAAGAATTTAGAATGAGTAGAGGCAGAATATGGCATAGAGAGGAACAATACACTAATTTTCACAGAGTGGGTATCTAAAAGGATGGAATAAATCTAGCTATAGTGTAGCTCTCTTCCTCACCACATTCAGTATAATCAACAAATTGTCAGAGAGAGTATGATTTGGACGGGATTATACAAAGAATATAATATTTCCAGTTCATGAGATTTTATCTATATTCTACATCAAACTTTGACCTGTATTATTCATGACGTAGTTAGGATCATATTTTGTCTTATAAAAAATCATAGATTTAAAAAAATAAATTCCAAGAAATCTGTACATCCTAGGGCCATTAGGAACCTCCAACTACCTAGTTGATATCTTCTTTACTTGGATGTCGCATACAGTTTCTCAAACTTAACATGTTGGAAGTCAACTCCAACCTTCCCCTCAAATCTCCTTTTTCTTTAGTCTTTTCCATCAAGCCAGAAAGCTCAGAGCCACTTTAATTCTTATTTGTCCCTAAAACCCCCCAGCCACCACCAAATCCACACCCAAGTGTGATCAGTTCTACCTCCAGAATGTATCTGCACCCTGTCTGCTGCACTGTCTCTCCACTGCCATAGCTCTGGTCCAGGCGGCCTTCATCTCTTACACGATTGCTAAGGTACTTTCCTAACTTTTTGCCCTGCTTCCCTTCTTGCCACCCTCTATCCACACAGTTATTTAGGTATTTTCTTAAAGAAAACTAAATCATTTTGCTCCCTTGCTCAGAACCCTTATATGATTTTCTTTGGTACTTAAGATAAAATTCAAAATCTTTTTCTTGGTTTACAAAGCCCAGCACATGCTGATCCTTGTCAAAAGTACCAGCTTCACTCTTCACTAGTGCCGTTCCCTGCTCTGAATGCCCCCATCCCAACCCTGTACTTGGCTGACTCTACTCATCCTTCAGATGTCAGTGTGAATGCCAAATTTCAAAGAGGACTTAGCTGAGCCTCTTTTTAGAGCTGATCCTAAATGACAGAAGGAGCAGCCACTGCAAAGCCTGAGGCTAAGATGACTGTGAATTAAAATCACAGCTGCCTTCAAAACCATGAGACTCAACTTGCCAAAGCTTTAGGACAAGAGGGCCTGTCTGTACCCAGAGCCAAATAATTCAAACATCTTTAATCAAATGAGGCATGTTTTACAAGTTGTACAAGTTGCACAACAATGAGTTGTTGACTCATTTAGATTTCTAGACAGGTTTCTAAAGTATTTGTGATGCCATTGGCTTGGCTTAACAATGGATTCATTAGGGCTCAGTGACTCCAGCACACAGGGTGCCCCACACCTGGTTTCCTCTTGGACAGGAGGCATCTTAGAGTACAAAAAGTGTGAATTTCAAGGTCAGTGAAACATGAGCCCAAATATCAGCTCTGTCACTTATTAGCTGTCAAACTTGGGACAACATATTTCTTTGCTCTGAGCCAGTCTCCAACCTGGCGGGCTGTGGTGGAGATTAAATGACATAATGTTTGGAGGCAACTAGTACAGTGAATACCTAAAAATGACCCCGATCATCATTTGCTTACACTATTTATCCTTAGGATAAAGTTATCAAATTACCAAATTTTAAGACTGCTTTATATCAACTTAGAAACTATGTAGTATGATACATGCAAACTTTTGGAAAGAAACAGTTGATAAACACGTTGACCAGAATTCCTTGATGGCCTCTGGTGAAAGTAGAAAGAGAAAAATGATTCTGTGTCTGAGGCAAACGTAAATGTTATAGGGAATATAGTTTCCTTTAGTTTTTATTTGATCTTTTTATTCTTTCTGAAGACATAGTCTCAAAGAATGTGGAAAGCTTCAGAAGCAGAATAGAAGCACCTGCATTGACACATGGAGACCTTTACGACTTTCTGTTTACCCAGTGATTGTTTTTAAAGCCCTAGATAACAAAATATCAAGAGTGGAATTGGCAGGCAGCCTTTCAGCCTTCCATGTTGAAGACCTAGAGTAAAATCTTAGGTGGGAGTGATTCCACACAGGTAAATGTTAGTGTGGCACATGAGAGAAAAGGAGTGTGTTCCTATTTCATTTCTTTTGTCAAATGTTTTACATTTTAATCCTGCGTAGGTTTTGGATTAAAAATTTGTTATGTTCATCATCATACTGAAAGAGATTGTTAGGCTCAAGCAGGAGCAGATTTCGGTAGCTCTTCTCTGGCCTGGGTGCAGAAATGGTACATTTTTTACTTCCATAAAGAATTTGTCAAAAGCACCAAATACAAAGATAATTGTTCGCTTTTCTTTATTGTTTTTATTTTCTCCTTCCCTTTTTTCTAGGATTATGACAGTTTTTTTGAATCAAAGGAAAGCAACACAGTCTTTTCCTTCCTTGGCCTGAAACCACGGTTGACATCAAATGTAGGTGAATCTTATCTTATTCTTGTTTTTGAATTCACCTTTTTTTAATTGTTCTTAGAGATGGAGATTCAAGGTATTAGAGGAATGTGTATATAGTCTCCTAAATTTTTAGTGTTTGCTTCCTCAAATGCATTAATTAGTGGTAAAACACACAAAGGAGCCTAGGGTTTTTTTTTTCTTTACAATATTTAATTGTTGCTAGAAATTAGAATATTAGTTTAATTTATACCCATTCTTCCAAGAAGAATGAATTTAAGGTAGCAAAAAGTAGTAGGTGCTTTCTATTTTAAATTGAAAATTTACATTACATTTTTAAAATAGACTCAAAGCCATATTTTAAGGGTATTTTAAACTTACTTTCATTGGAGAGGAGATGATCTACAATAACAAATGGTCAGCCTTGAAAAAGTGCTGCAATTCCTAAATATTTTTGAAGCCACTTTATTAAGTCATATGTTTTTTGGAAAATGTAAAGGACTCAGTATTTTCTCATGTTTAGACCTAGAAATGATGTATATTATCACAACTCTATTAAGCACATGGATTCATGTTCAAAATAAGAAAAAACATTTCTTTATTAAGTAAGATAATGTTTTGATTGTTATTTCCCCTTTGAAAGAAACGCAATTTTTTTCTGATTATGGAAGTAGCCTAGGCTCATTCAGAAAAATTGGGAAAATGCAAAAAAGTATTAAGTAGAAAACAAAAATCATTACCCAGAGCTAACCACATTGATATTTTTGTGTATTTCCTTGCAGTCTTTATGTACATAGTAATTGAGGTTTTTACTATATTTCAAATTGAGACTGAATTCTAAAGTGTCTATTTTTAACACAATTGAAATGGAAAGTGCATTACTTAGAACTTTGATGTCTGTAAGTAATAGGTCTTTCCAGGCTAGCCAGGATTTGTACCATCTCTGGAACACCTGTGGGAGGAAGGCAGGGGCCATCAGTAACAAAAATTATACACCAGCACTTGCAGTGCATACCCTATATGAAACCTTGCTTTGTTTTTACATCAGTAAGTCCACAGATGGTTGTAGGTGGTTTTCGTGCACATGTTTTAAGCAGAGGCAAAACCCACACATAAAGTATTTAAAGGTTCTTAAAACTATTTTTATAAAGATGGAACATTTGAATACTTGTTAGGAAAATTGGAGTATTTTTATAACATGTTTCATCCAAAGATACTAAACTACCCAGGTTTATCTTCAAAGAACTGTAAAAACTGGGATAAGGGTAATCTAGTGAATGCATAAATCCAGTGGGCATCATTGTGTATGCAAAAACCTTTAAAAAAATACCTTGTGTTCCCATTTCCCCAAAGATGTAGATTCCTTAGCCATCCTGTGGGCTGACTTTTTTTATTCTTTAAAAAAAAATTATTTTCTCAAAAATGCCTCAGGAAATCTGTGATCTATAAAATATACATTCTCACACGGTAATGGTCATAGTATTAAAGTTGGTCTTGGTGCGGTTGAAGTTGACTTGATTTCAGTAGACCATCCCAAAGGCAGTGAGGGCCTGGACATCCCCACCTGTTCAGCCCACCATTTCCAAGCACCTGAATCAGCTGCACCTGGGCAGGAGCCCCTGGGACCAGAGCGGACGTCCATGGTGCAGAGTCTGTGCTGCTCTCTCTGATCAACCATTCAGGGCTTTACAGGTTAATAGCAACTCATACTTCATCTTTATATAGAGAAGTGAAAATATCTTTAAGAACAATTTAGCATTTTCCCTCTTTCTAGTCATTTATTTTTTACCTTGGTTGTAATTCATCCCACAGTCTAAGGCTTTGACAGGGTGTTCACAGATTTAATGTACTAACAGATGAAAGCCCCCCTTTCTCCTCTCCTTTCCTACTCTCTGCAGTATACACACATCACAGACAGTGCTAGAAAGCCTGTTAGGAAACATAACGACATCATTAGCATTTATAATTGCTCTGACACCATAGGAGAAGAACATTACAGGCCGGACAGGCACAGGGGCAGTGTAGACTCTGATTTGGCTGCTTTCAAAGGTGGAAAGGGCTAAGGAAGGTCAGGTCATCAAATGGTGGCCTGCAGGCCACATTGGCTCTGCATATGTTGCTTGTCTTGAACAGAATTTCAAACGAACATACATGTTGTTAATATTTAAAATATAGATCTCCTGCTTTTCCTGAGAAGTTGGAAGGTATGGAAACCCCTGGCAGTGAGAGGGGGCCTTGCCGGGGGGCTCAGTTTGCCCTGTGGCTGGCTGCAGCCAGCAGTGGCTGGCCCATGATGGTACCGACCTAACCCTGAGAAAAGGAGCCTTTCTCACTAATAATTTTCAGGTAGAAAACCATCAGGTTTGTTATTTTAATAGACCCCAAGTAGGGCCTGTAGTAGAAGATTTTGCTTTCAGATCCCCACTGTTCAGAGGTGCTATTCAAAATATGTAACAACTGGGAAACTTTGGGCAGTGACTGGCCAGAGCTGGAGCAGGTCACAGAGGGCCCCTGTTCCAGGTGTCAGCCATTTATCTGTTGACTCATGGGGTGGAGGGGCAGGTGGCACTTGGGATTTGGGCAGTGACTCTTTGCTAACAGGTATGGCCATACTACTGCTGTTCTTCACCTTGAGTCACCATTAACCAGCACCTCCACAGACCCCCTGAGCAAGGTAACCCCCACCCACCCAGCCACGCACTGGTGGAATAGTGCCTCTGAGAGGAGTCTCAGTAGGTTATTATAAACACGCAGCTTCTACTTTTATATTTGGCAGGTCAGGTAGGTTTGACTTAAATCTGGGCTCAGTGGCTGAAATCCAGGATTTGTTGTTGTCAATCACATGGGGGTGATTTATTATGATTTCCAATGTGTCTGTTCCTGACATTAAAAAAACCCTGTCAAGGGTGAATTTTCTTGTCAATGTAATGCAATAACTGGTGCCTATTTTTTTTTTTTTTTTTAAATAACTAGGCAGAGCCTTAAGAGAGAAAAAGTGGAAGATGATGGAGATGCATTTTGGAGCACCCCCCTGGTACTCAGCACACACCTGCTTACCTAATGCATCACTGTGACAAAAAAGCCACATGCATCATCAGTAACTTTGCTTGCCACGGAAAAGGTGTTTTTGGAAGATATGGGTATTATGGGAATTGCATGATTGCTTTAAACCAAATCAGGCGGTGGATTTTTCTTATTTTTTTTTTTTCAGATTTGCCTGCAGTTGCCTCACTCATCAGGAAATATTATCACCTGTTACAGGTGTGCTTCCTTAATGACTGAAAGATAAGTGGGTAGCACCATCAGAGAGAAAATGTTGGATCTGCCCTAGGTTATAGTAGATGCCGGAATTGTATAAACCTGCTTCTCTTTAAGCTGCCTGGATTGCATCCTTGAAATTAGCCTGCCAGGTTTTTAGAGTCTTTGAATCAGAAAGAAAAAAAGCAATGCTGGTTGACAGAGGGCACTCAAGATTTTTGCTGTGGAATCACAAACGTCACTGTTCCAGTGCTTTTTAATAACACCTGTGAAAAAGTTAGGTGTTCTAGACTCATTTTCGTAGTGGAAACTCTTACCCTTATAAATCCTCCAAGCTCCTACAGATGTCTCCAGAAATCCCTGTTACAACATCTAGTGATCAGAACTAAGTTACAGGGATGAAAATAATTGCTATTTTGGAAAATATATGCTTCTTTATTTCTTGCAAGGGGAAAATTTCCCTAAATACATAAGACTCCTTGAAAGATATATTTTAAGAGATCTACCAATTAGATAATAAATTTATGGGAAAATTGTCTGAGTAGTATCTGAAGGCTTATTCAGCCATAGCGGTTTATTTATACATAAGTAGACATATATTTTTAAATGCAGCTCCCCTAACTATTATTAACAGCTGCTTATTCTATTTTGTGAAGGGATTATATTTTCTGAGAAAGGAAGATCCCAATTAAATATATTTTGTGAACCCTTGATGAGACATATTAAAGATACCAATATTGCTGTACAATTTAATTTTTTCTTATATTACTTTTCATTTTTCCTGTAACTTTACTTCCTCATAATTCTGGCCAAAGCAGTGTCAGATTTTTTAGGGTGGTACAGATGTATGTTCTCATCCATATAGGAGTACAAGTGTGTTTTCAGAGCAACATATATGAGAAAGAGGTTGTCTAGAGAGTAACTCAGAATTGTACTTGGCAGGTAAAATCTCTACTCCCATTGGAGTGGATGCTGGTAAACAGTGAAGATGTCTACTTCATTAGGGTCGAGGCTACTTTTCTGCATCCTTGTCCCTATAACAGGGACACTTCATATTTTAGAGTTTTTAATTGCCAAACATAGGAACAGCTGTGAATAGGGTTAACTCTCAGAGTGCTGCTTAAACTACTATTCCCAGCATCCTGATTCTGGACCATTCATTATGATTCTGAGCAGGAAATTTATAAGAAATAGAAAGAGCAGAAGAATTAAAGCTCTGTCACATCTATCCCCCGCCCCTCTCCCCAGCCCCATTCCTGGCTAAATGTAGACTATAAAGAACTTGCCAAATGCTAAAGCTGAAGTCCCAGCCTGAGATTTGCAGTCCAGGACTATACAGAAGAAAAACATGACAGATTTCTACTTGATGGGAACAGATGCATGATCCACAATTTTCTCTCCAAGGAAAGCTGTTGTCTAATATGAATATTACTGGCTAGTTGGCATTAAATAAGATCCAGGTCAAATTCCATTTGATAAATCCCAGGGACTATTCAGGAATTCTTTTTTTTTTTTTTTTCGAATCAGATACAGTGTTTGAGTATGTGAGTCTTCTGTTAAGACTTAGAATTTCTTAAGATACAGCAATTTTAAATATTGTTATAATTATCCAACTTATTAAATATGTTTAGTCTACTCTTGCCAGGGAGCACCAAGAATCAACTTGATAAGGTTGAGGCTTTGCAAGTTAAATTCTGGGGTTATAGGATCAATTCCATATTTGCTGGACAAAGAAAGCTGTCCAGATTTGCTTGTCTTACAACTTTTGAATTAACCATAGTATACCTAGTATGATTATATTAAACAGACTAGATGGATAAGTAGTGCTAAATTACTGCTGCTGTTACATACCATCTCCCCATCCTGAATTTTTTTTTTTTTTTTTTTGATCAACAGAGAAATACAAGGAACCAGCCTTGGGCAATACTGTACTTGTTGTGAGTGAGCTAGCAGCCCAGTGTGTGGTATTCACACAGTACCCAGGCCCCACAGCGAGCCCAGGTATTGCTCTCTGGGACCACGCAGTGTTCAGAGAATGTCATGTCCTTGCTTGTACCCTTTTACCAGCTGAATTCCAAACATGTAATAAGGATTTTCTTGTTTCCTTTTTTAACTAGCTGCCTTTAGATTTTGATAATCACAGTCTTAAAAACCCAGGAAAGAAGTGGTTGGGAATTGTAGGCATAGATTTAATATCAAGGGCATTTCAAGACAGAATTTTTATTTCCTATAGTGGGCTTGTTGGGACAAAGGAAATGTGCTGCTAAAAATCAAATTATGCCATTGTAAAATTAGATAAAACACAGAGTGCCATCCTGCTAGATGTATGCAGACCAGAAGTAAATTTAGTTGGGAAAATACTTGTTTTCCCAAATTCTGGTGTTTTATTAAAATCAAAGAAGAGAAAAGGAAGATTTTTTTTTCCCCACAGACTCTAATATATTTTAGATTTGTTTCTCTTTTATAGATTTAATTCAGTACTCTCACAGAGATGTTTTTATATTATATGAATTTAATAATGAACTAAACTTATTTTTGTCTTCTGTTATTGAAAGGTACCAAAGCCTCTTTCTATTTTGTTTTTGTTTTGTTTGTTTGATGTTATTATGGGGTTTTGCTTTCTCTGGAAATACTTCTCATTTAACAGCTTTTCTTACGTGTCAGGCGCCACGTTGATCTGTATAATTATTGTTTTTAGATTTCAATTTGTATGTATTTGTCTCTGAAGGAATTGGTGAAATCTCAGATTTTATATTCAGCATTAAAGGGGAATAAATTCCAGAAAACACATATCCTGAAAATGGAGTGTTTGTTCCCTACCATTTCTCACACTTTTAAAAATTTTAGTTCTGCATTTGGCTGAATCCTTTCTGTTTAGTGGGGAGGCTGTGTTTCTCCTTCCATCCATGAGCCCCATGTATGAAAGCTGCACATTCAGTTGTAAAAATACAAACAGATTGTGTGACCATTCAAGGAGCCAGTAATGGGTCCTTCACAGTTATGCTGGGAGGAGACAACAGAATCATCTCAGACGGTGATCAGGATCGAGGATGGAATTAAATCACTCAGCCCCTGGGTGGGTTCAAATGGATGACTTTGTGGCCTCCTAAGTACACTGAAGCCACGGGCTGGTGGATATGTTCTCCTAATTGGGTGCGGAAAACAAGGACAGAGTAGCTGTAGCCCTTTATTACCAGGCCCTCTTTGGGGACAGCCACCTCTGAAAGCAGAAGAAAACATTTCTGAAGTCACCATCGGAGGTTGATCTCATCACTGAACTATTTCAAACCTTAAACACCAGGACAGAGGAGGGTGGAGAAAGGGATCAAAGGGAACAGGCTGTAAGTTTCCAGAAATGTGAGAAACTGTGAAACCAAATAAGCAAAATGATCACCGCCCACTTGTGACCCAAATTTCCGAAGTTTTCCTAGTTCTTCTAGAAATGCAGATCAAGTTAGTTTGTTCATCCTTTCCATCAGCATGGATTGAGCCCCTGGAATGTGATGGGTACTCTGAGCAGGACAGTAATCTTCACCTTCAAGGATGAGGGAAACAGAAACAGAAGCAGCAGTTACAGGCAGTGGTAAATGACAGAGCTGAGGTAAGTTAATAGCACTCCAGGCTGTGGTTCATCATCTGAAACACTACACGTCATCTTTTCCTTTGTTACGTCCATTCCAATTTTTAAAAATTTCATATATGCAATGAAATATATATATGCATACATACATATAATAATATATATGTTAAAGTATACAGAGTGATAATAATAATAATACAAACCCTTGTGTGCCTACCACCTACCTTATTGCCTTTCCTTTGAGGCACGATGTGCTTTTTCTTGAACCTCTCTCTCCCTGTCTGGTAGAGGGATCCCCTGTACTGAACTTTGTGTGGACCATAGTCTTCCTGTCCTTTATCGTTTTACCTTCGTGTATGTATCCTTAAAGAATAATAAATGGAATTAAACTGGATGTATTCTGTCACTTCCTTTTTATGTTCATTGTAATGGGAGTTTTTTTCACTGCTAAATCCTATTCCATTGTGTGAAAGTATCACAGTTTTTCTCTTTTCCAATTGCTGGTTATTGAACTGCATCTTTGATTGAAATAGAAAAAGGAAATGTAGCTGTGAAGATTCTTTTATGTGACTTCTGTACATAAAAGAATGGATGTACACCTTGAATAGAATTACTGAGTTATACGATAAAAACACATTGTAACTTTACTAGATAAGGCCAAATCGTTTCCAAAGTAATGGTACTAACTTATGCTCCCACCAGTATGCTAGAATTTTCAGGACTCTAGCTCTTCACCAATGTTTGGCATTGTCAGAGTCAAATTTTTGCCAAGCTGGGGAGTGTAAAATGGTGGTTTCATTTTGCATTGTGGTTTCATTTTGCATATTTTGATTATTAGTAAGCTGAACATGTTTTATTATAGTAATTTCTATTTCTTCTTCTTGGAAACCTCTCTTCATGTCTTTTTACCTTTTTTCCTATTGAGTTTTTAATAATTAATTTTTAAAGTTTCTTTATACTTACCTTTTATTGGTCAACATTTCTTTTTTTTGAGACAGGATCTCACTTTATTGCCCAGGGTAGAGTGCAGTGGTGTCATCACAGCTCACTGCAACCTCAATGCCTGAACTCAAGTGATCTTCCTGCCCCAGCCTCCTGAGTAGCTGAAACTACAGGCGTGCGCCACCACACCCAGCTAATTTTTCTATTGTTTAGAGACGGGGTCTCACTCTTGCTCAGGCTGGTCTCGAACTTCTGGCCTCAAGTGATCCACCTACCTTGGCCTCCCAAAGTGCTAGGATTACAGGCGTAAACCACCACACCTGGCCAACACTTAATTTTTTTTTTTTTTTTTGAGACAGAGTCTCACTCTCTTGCCTGGGCTAGAGTGCAATAGCATCAGCCTAGCTCACAGCAACCTCAAACTCCTGGGCTCAAGCGATCCTCCTGCCTCAGCCTCCCAAGTAGCTGGGACTACAGGCATGCGCCACCACACCCAGCTAACTTTTTCTATATATATATTTTTAGTTGTCCAGAAGATGAAAAGCATGTGATTCTTCATTCTGTCTGGAGAAAATAAAGTTAAGTGCATATATTATATATTTTTATTGTGTTCTGATTTTCAGTTTGTCAGTGTATCAGCCAAGAGATATGCTTTGGGAACTTCTCTGTGAAGGACCTCTAGAAGGGGCCTTTCTTTGAAGACATTTTAAGGCTCTCATCAAGTCCAGTTATTTGGTACACGCCTGTAATCCTAGCACTCTGGGAGGCCGAGGCGGGAGGATCGTTTGAGCTCAGGAGTTTGAGACCAGCCAGAGCAAGAGCGAGACCCCATCTCTATTAAAAATACAAAGAAAATTAGCTGGACAACTAAAAAAAAATATATAGGAAAAATTAGCTAGGC